AAGTGTCCACAGGGACTGAGGTTCCTAACTGTGCTGCCAGGGCATGGAGATGCCGCTTACCAAGCAGGGAACAGAGGGTGAGGAGGGGAGCGTGTGTGGGCGTGTGCATGCGTGTGCGTGTGTGTGTGTGTGTGCACGTGTGCGTGTGTGTGTGTGGCTTCACGTGCACGCGTATGAGTGCACTAGCATGGATGTGTGTATGTGGTGTCGGGAGGGGCTCAGGATCGATGCTGAGCGCATGCGGGTGGCGAGAGTTCTGAGTGGGAGATGCTGGCAGGATATGCTGGCAGGAGACGCCCACTCGGTAACCTGACTCTCAGATCTGGAGCTCAGGTGAGGGGTCGAGTTGAAGGAAATTGTTCCCACTGCGCTCTGTGAATCAGTTGTTGGAGCTTTGGGGTCGGTCTCCTCGGTGTAGTGCGAGCAGCATCCAAGGATGCTGGGAGCAGCCGTACCGGCTGCAGAAGGCAGGCGAGAAGAGAGATTCGAGGACCGACCTAGGGAGGGGCCTCTCCCTACGAGGCCTGGGCAGTGGGGCGGTTGCAGGTGGACAGCTGCAGTGCGCCCGAGTGAGGAGGCAAGGGAGAGTGGTCAGGGTGTGGACGGCAAGGGAGGCTCGGGTGATATTTGACACTCGCGCTGTGGGCAGGTCCAGAACTCTGAAGGCGGCCTGGAGACCAGGTTCTGGCAGGGGCCTGGCAAGGGCAGGCCCACCTGGGAATGGCCTGTATTGAGGACCCAGGAGCAGGCACCCAAGGGGTGCAGCATTCCACTCACAGACCTCCTGGACTTCCAGTGGTGACCAGCCCAGAGGCCCTGGGCTCAGGTGACCTCAGGGGACCTCGCCCGCTCCTTCACTTGGGTGGAACGTGTAGCGGTGGTGGCCGAAGGCTTCGGTAACACCACCCAGGATGACAGTGAGAGCCAGCATAGCCGGCCTCATACGTGGTCAGCACTCTGCATCACCTGTCATCATGGTAGCCAGTGACTCTGGCTTGAACCTCCCCTGCCTGTGGCATGGGGACAATACCCCTGCCTTTGCAGCGAGGTCCGAGAACGCCAAACGGGCACTGGCAAATGCTCGCAGCTCGAAAGGGCAGCTCTTGTTCGTCATACAGCTGCACTTGGCACTGACAGTGGCCTTCGGTCCTGCTTTCCCAGGAAGTTCTCCCTGGACGACCTGCTGACCAATGTCATGATCTACTGGACGACGGGCACCATCACCTCCTCCCAGCGCTTCTACAAGGAAAACATGGGGAAGAACTTCACAGCTGAGAAGCCCTTTCGGTGAGCCCGCCTCCGAGGCAGGGAGCAGGGCACAGCCCAGCCTTGAACTCGAGGGAGGGCATTTGATGGCAGCAAAGCACAGCCTTGCCTGCAGGGTGCACGGGGTGCAGAGGATGAGGACACGATTTAAAGGTCGGGGGTGTTTTGAGAAATCCCTCTGCCTTTAGAATTAGCTCCCGGAGAGAACCCCAGGCCTCTCCCAGGGCCAGGATGCTGGCCTGGTGAAGCACCGAAGTTCCTGGGACTTCTCTGGCACCCTTTCCTAAGCCTATATGAAGACCCTCGGGGCCCTTAGTGGGTGGGAATTGAGGGGAATGGTTAAAACCCTGGATCCGTCCTTTTCTTTATGGCTCCCTGTGGGTGGGCCAGCTGACCCCTGCCCAAAGGCCTCCGAACTTGCTGCTGTGGGGTACAGGCTACCAGGCCACAGCCTACTGCATCAGTGAGACCTCTGTCCCTTCCAGGATGAAGGTCCAGGTGCCCACTGGCTTTGCCGCCTTCCCTTGTGAGTTATTGCACATCCCAGAAAAGTGGTTGAAGTTCAAGTACCCAAAGCTCATCTCCTACTCCTACATGGCCCGTGGGGGCCACTTTGCTGCCTTGGAGGAGCCGGAGCTGCTCGCCCGGGACATCATCAAGTTTGTGGGGCTGCTGGAGCGGCAGTGACGTGGGGAGACTGGCTGCCTCCGCCTTCTCGGTGAAGAGCCCTTTTCTGGGGGGTGGGTTTGCTTCTGCCTTCCGCCCATCCCAGGACCCCCGCGCTCATGTGCCAAGCAACGTGGCTTTAAAGATAAATGATTTTACTTCTGAGAGCGGCTGGAACTAAGTGACTTGCGCCTGCCCTGAGCCCACCTGGGGTTCCCCTTCCCGCAGAGCTGGCAGGTCTGCAGCCTGAGTTGGGGAGGGGTTCCCACTCGAGGGCAGGACAGGACTGGGGGGGACACCAGGATGCCACTGTACTCCCTGCGGGTGCCCCCGGGGCTGCTCTGAGCCGAGGCGGAGGGGTTGAGTGACTGCTAGGGGCAGGGTCTGCACAGGGACCCCCAGGTCCATGCCCACCCCACTCTCCTCTGGGGATTGAGGCAGCCTCGCTGGCTCAGCCCCATCACCCGCGCCCACTACACAGACTTGCCCCTCTGGCGCCCCCTGGAGGCAGTAGGAAGGCAGCTTCTCTGGCAAGTGCCCAAAGCGGCACCCCAGCCGCGGGATCCCCCAGAGAGAGAAAAGGCAAGGGTCTGCCCATCCTTCCCGCCAGGATCACAGCTCAGGGGTGGTGCACAGCCCTGCGCCCAGCCCGGGCACCCTCTCCTTTCCTCCCCTGCCACAGTCCTCCCTTGACCCCAAGCGGGCCCCAACACTGCTCCCCACACCTCCCACCTTGGAGGGAGAGACAGATGGAGTCAAGGGCAGAGACTGAGAACCGTACACTCACCAGCCTGGCAGAATGGACACTTTATTAGTGGTCCTTATTGTCCCCGCCTGCTGCGGGGTGACCCTGGCCCAGCCACAGTGTCACCAGGAACACGATACAAAAACATCGTACCATAGTGAGGTGCAGAGGTGTGTGTGCAGCTGGCAAGATCCTGCACTGGCCATTCCCTCCCCGCTCCCCACAGCTCGCTCTGGGACAGGGCTGGGGTGAATGGCTTCATACATAGGGCGGGGGCCAGAAGGACTCCGGACCGTCCTCCGGTCCCGTCTCAGGCCTGGGCCTGCCGCAGGCTCTTTGGTTATCAGTTGTGTATGTTCCTAGGGAGGGCTGGGTGGTGTCTGGATACCCAGAAAGGAGGTCTCCCACTGGTTACGTTCTCCCTATTACCTGATAGGGTCGCCACGACCAAGGGGCCTGGAGGGGCACAATTTCCATGATCTTGCTAAAAATTACAGGGGACATCACCCAGCTACAGAGCTGTGCAGAAGGGGGGTCAGGGACGAGCAGGGCCCCAGGCGCACGAGCAAGGGTAGGAGGCTGCATGGACCCCCTCACCACCGACGGCAGTCCACCCCAAACCCCTCAGCCGAGGGCTGAGCCCTTTCCTGGTTCCAACTGTTCGGAGCAGTGCTGCTTCAAACGGGCGGACAGAAGTCCTGAACTTGGTGGGGGTCGATGTAAAGTAGCTTCTCCACCTGTGTCTCCTCGCCTCCCGACCCCCGAGCTTGGTCCAGCCGGCCGCTTGCCTGCCCTCAGGCCTCCTGGTAGGCAGCCACCATGCTGTCTGCAGGGCTCTGGGCCAGGCACTGCCCTGGGACGGTCCCACTGATGTTGTGGATGGCACCGTAGTTCTGCTGCTGCTGTGGGGACAGGGCTGTTCTCTCCGAGGACAAGCCATTCAGAATCCGAGGCACGTAGGGCTGCCAGCAAACGGGGGGTGTTAGTGCTTGGGTGGGCCGGGCCTGAGACGTGGTACCCATCCTTCCCCCCCACTGCCCCTCCTCCTTCCACAGGAGGACACGTGCAGTGATCGTGACGGACATGAAGAAATAACATCAACTTAGGATGTCAGGACCCCAAATATACCAACTGCAGAATCTCCCAGCAGCCAGAGCAAAACAAAACGCAATCAATTATACAGTTCTCATGATCCTAGAGAAGGAAGTACACACATCTATTTCTCAGAGGAAACAAAACTTTTCCAGGCACTGGATCCCAGGAGAATTTCTTGCTTTACAGAGGAAACAAGTCGATCTGCACGGGGCAGGCTTAGGACGCTGTCAGTGGGGCGAACCCTTAAAGGATTCTTTCCAGTTCCAGGCTCCAGCTGCTAACCCCAGTGGCAGATCCCTGCGCTGCTCCTCCCCGGCCCCAGGCTGACAATGAGGGACTGATGTCATCTACCTGCCCTGCCTCTTCCCTTGTCTGGCGGCACAGCCACAGGTGTGCCTCTGCGTCATGAATCTGAGAAGCTTCTCTGGGGCTGGTCCAAGGACGGCCACTGATAAGAGGGCCTAACGCCTGGGAGACAGCCACCGTGAGACGCTGCCGCCCCGCCCTGGCTCTGTCGGGAGGGCCGGCGGTCATGGCTCTGGGGTCCCGTGGCTCCCCTTTCCTTTCCCATGCCCACCGTAGGAGCAGGACCGGAAGCAGGGAGAACCAGGAAGGAACGGTGTCCCCGTGTCTAACAGGTGCCTGCTCTGAAGCAGGTGCAACGCTCCGTCGCTGAATTCAGAGGGGAGTTAGTGTGCACCACGGAGGCCCTCGCACAGGCAGGTGCTGCTGAAATGCTCGTGATAAGTGTCACCAAACCATAAGGCCTTGTGCTATTGTTTCACCAAGGGCCCAAACTCACCAGGCATTAAATATGCAGAGCAGAAAAGTGAGCAGGGAAATGAAAGCGAGGGGGATGGGTGTACATCACGGCAAAACTAATTCTCTTCTCAGTGACGAATATGGCTTCACACATGTAAGTTAAAGCACCCAGAGGGACCCGGATTCCTTCTCAAGTGACATTAATTCAGCAACTTGTCTGGCACGTGATCAAGGGACTTCTATCTTAACAAGAGTTGATTAAAGCACGTTTGTAGGGCCCGTCTGGTTGGGGCCATTGCCGTGCTTGGTCACGGGGGAAAACCACAACTCACTGTGAACGGTGGGGGCACGTGGGCCGAGCCGTCACTTCCTTTGTCGCTTGCTGACTCTTCTGTCTGCAGATAACAGCAGAAACTTACAATGGTAAACAGAACCGATCTTCCTGAACTAACAACCTCCAGACAAGCAGACTGTTAACACCCAGAATAATGGTACCAGCTGGCACCCGAGCTCCCAGCAGCAGCCCAAGAGAGGATGGGGGGGCAGTGCAGGGAGCAGGGAGGGGTGGGGAGGGAAGCCACACATTGCACCCAACTACCCACACCTTTCTCATGGACAAATAAGATCTGGAGAAGGCTGTTGATAAGTGAAAGGGTGAGGAGCAGTCGAGAGTGAATCAACATCTCCTCCCAGGTCCTGGCTGGGTGGCAGGGAGGGGAGGGGCCCTGTACCTTGTAGTTCAGAGGGCTGAGGTGCTTGAAGCATCCAAAGCAGGTGTAGGCCAGGCACACCAGGATGGTGAGCAGCACGACCAGGAAGGTAAACAGGGTGGCAGGGGCCGTCATACCTGGGGACAAAGGGATGCCAGCCTTAGTGAGGGAGGGAGAGAGAGGCTGCCATTCACTGTGACCCTGCTGAGGACGGCGTCCATACCTGGTGTAGGAACTATGGGTGACTTCTCCTTCAGGCGTAAAATAAAGAGAAGGCACCACCACCCCCCCAAACCCCCTCAAGGATGGTGTCTTCTGGCAGGGGCCGTCATACCTGGGGACAAAGGGATGCTGGCCTTAGTGAGTGAGGGAGAGACAGGCTGCCATTCACAGTCACCCTGCTGAGGATGGCGTCCATACCCGGTGTAGGAACTATGGGTGACTTCTCCTTCAGGCGCAAAATAAAGAGAAGGCACCACCACCCCCAAACCCCCTCAAGGATGGTGTCTTTGCAGCCAGCAGCACACACAGAGACCCACTGAACAGCCGGCATTATCTCTGCTCAGATTTCAGGTACTAGGACACCAAGGCTATGGCAGTTTGCCAGCTGCCTTGCTGGGTCAGTTCCCTCCCATCTCTGGTGCCCAGTGCCCTGGGTGCCACATTGTGACTGAGCACCGAGTTGATGCTGTTAAAGCACTGGGGGTCCACGGCCACGCCACCCTGAACACCCGCTCCCGTGCTTTTTAAGCTTTTATAGGCGACTAAAAAGGTGGACAATTAAAAGTAAATTCACCTAGGAAGACCAGGTGCTGTAGGCTTTAACAAATAAATAAAAAATAAAAAAATAAAGCACTGAGGGCTTTGACTGGCTGGTATGGATATGGGAACGTGAGGCCAACGACTGCCTCCCTCCCCAACCTCCCCCCCACCGGGGGTCAGGAGGGCCCCTCACCCAGGCGCAGGAAAGAGAAGAAGTAGAGCCAGAAGAGGCAGAGGATGGGCGCGGCCAGGGCCTGGTTCACAGCCGCAAAGTGGATCCTCTTCTCCAGCTTGGCCGGGAGGTAGACAAAGTAGAGGTTGTGCCGATCCACCATGTGCTTGAGCAGGATGTAGATCAGGCCTGCAGAGAGGGGGCCGTCAGCTGGACACCTGGCTGGGCCACGAGGGCCCCTCCGCCCCCTTCCTATTTGTGCACGGAGCTGCTTGTGCACGGAGCTGGGGCTGGGGCTGCCACGTGACTGCGGGGACCAGAAGGTGGACAAAACACATAAATGCCCATCCTGGCTGCTCGTGGTCTCAGTCCCTCGCCCCCACGCCTTTCTTCCTCCCTCTTCCCCTCCCCCTTCCAGGCCTCTTTCTGGCTCCAAAGAGCAGAGGTGTCTGTGAGTCTGCACCCGCGGAACCCCGAAATTCTAAGATCACTCAGGGGAAAGGCTGTTGTACACTCAGATGCCTGGCCTCAGCCTGTGTGTGGGCCCCTCTCACGCCGAGCACCCCCAGATCCCTCATTCTCCTGCTCTCCTCCAAGCTGACCTCCTGCCCTCATCACAGCCAATGGATCCCCCAGGATCTCACCCCAGGGGTGGCACGAAAGGTGGGTACTGCCTTTTGGATGATGTCAGGTTCTTTAAAAAATTCATTTTGTTTCGAAAGAGTAATACCGTATCTTTAAAACAGTACGAGGGAGTAAACAGGGAAAACTAAAACTCCCGCCCACCCCTGAACCTCAGCTATGACTGTCAGCCAGATCCTGGGTGTTCGGTTTCCTTCCAGAGTCTTCCATTTGTTGGCCAGTTCCTGACGTTTGATTTTAGTTGCAAGACCTTGGCCGTTAAAACCGAACAGTCCTAAGTTCGAATCCTGGCTCTACGCCTCACTGACGTGACTCATCTGTGAGACGGGGACAGAAACCAGCCCCGGCTCGTAGGGCCGTGCGAGAATTCGTGTGCAAGGTGACCGGCCACAGAGCACACACGAGAGCTCCGATCGCCACGGCCACTCTGCGGTCACATACGATGAGGTCTCCGCTGAAGGAGCAACCAAGAACTAAGTGGTCAGCCGCCGAGAAGCTCAGACCAGAAATACTGAGAAGCCACAGTGTGACAGCCCGTGGAAGAAAGTCATTGCAAGTGAAATTAAATTTGGAGTCACCTCTGACCCCAAGACATCCTCTGTTTGTGGGGCTCCATAATGCCCCAGTGATGGCTGTCCTGGGGTGCTTGGCAGAATCAGCCACCCACCTACCCTGGACAGGCTCCAGGGCCACTCACCGAATGGGGCGATGATGGGGCAGGTGATGCTGTAGGCCATGATGACAGTGAAGACACACAGCATCCACGCATACATGGCTCCGAACTCGTACTCGAAGGCCTGGTTCTGGAGGAGGTGGTGAGGTGCTTACAGGCTCGCTCTACCCCAAACCCCCTGTATATACTCCAAGGGGCAAGGGGACACCAGGTGGAGGACTTTGGAAATGGGAGACTCACAGCCACCCCAACCTCTTGAAGTCCTTTCTGTTCAAACCTTCATAAGCCTTTACCAGCTTCACTCAGCTCAGACCCAGACTTCGCAAGGTACAGTGAGTGATTCATACTTTCATAGTGTTTCTTCTGTTTGAATCACGTCTACCCAACAGGCCCGTGAGCCCCGAGAGGGCAGAGACCGAGGTCTGAGGACAGACTGTAAAGTGACCCCCCCCCCCCGACTTTGGCATCAGATCCAGTGTCAGCTCTGCCCCTTCTAGTGTGTCCTGGGCTTAACCTCCCTATGGCTTAGTCTGTGCATCTGCCAAGTAGGGTACTCGTAGCACCCATCCCATGGGGGTTTCTGACAATAAAATGAAAAAAACCCAGCACATCTCCAACTTTCCTCTCAGGGTACCCACGTGGCAAAGGAGCATAAAGAACCCGCGCCTCTCAGTTTAGGGAATCTCGGATCAGATGCTGCGAGCCCAAAATGCCTTTGACCTCGGTAGTAATCTGAAGAATTTATGTAAATATATGCCCGAGAACAAGGGATGAGTTGATGTGGGTTGTATGTGCGTGTGTGATCAGACTGGTTAAAATGCAAAAATCTACACACTCCCCTCCAGCCGATGAGTTAGAGTGGAGAATAGTGAAGACACGCCGCCTTCATGGGGGGCCCTCATGACTCCCCCCCACAGGAGCGGCCCTGTGCCCAGTGCCCGGCGCTAGGGTGGGGTGGCAGTGCCTGCCCCCGCCCCCACCCCAGCTCACACCTGTTTGACGTTCCTGCGGTCCGCGGCGGTCTTGGCCATGATCATGCGGAAGGTATAGAGGATGAGGCCGGGCAGCCGCAGCAGCTCCATGCCGTTGCCGATGAAGGCCGAGGCGATGACGTAGTTCACAAAGAAGGCGCCCTGGTCGGGCAGGAAGACGCACCTGGGGGCCAGGCGCGGGTGTGAGCCGAAAGCCTGGAGGGCCTCCTTCCCACCGGAGGGAGAGCCTGACCGTCGGCTGGGCAGGAGCACAGCCCCGAGGCTTTGCACTTGTCCCTCCATTTGGTATGCATGTGTGTGCAGCACACACACGTGCCAGGCACTGCTCTAGGCCCTGAGAATGACACAAATCCTGTGACCCTGTCCTCGTGGAGTTCACACTCCAGCTGGGGGACACACACACACGGACCAGGTACACATGTGCCAGGTACACGGAAAAGCAAGCAGGGCGGGCAGTGTTTACTGTTGCCCGCGGTCAGAGGTGATTCTGATAAGGTGATTCTGTGCAGAGGAGGTAAAGAATCAGCGTCATCTAGAAACCTGGGGAGAGGGCATCGCGGGCACAGGAAGCGGCAGATAATGGCTCTTGGGGTGGGGTGGTGGGGAGAGAGAAGGGGGAGGGGCAGGCTGAGAAGGGAAGGTGAGGCCAGGGGTGCAGAGGGCCAGCCCCGGGCAGAGGAGCAGCTCTGAGTGTGGTGAGGGCGCCGAGGGGCAGGGCGGCCAGCAGGTGGCTGCCGCTGTCACCTGTGTGTGGCACGAGGCCGGCTGTGGTCGAGGTGGTGGACAGATTCTGGATCTACGTTAGAGCTGTCGGGATTTGCTGACGGCTTGGG